TTACTTATCATGTAGGTCTGGAAATAGCGCTAGTAAATTCTCATCTGTTTCTGATCTGTTCTGTTTGTTATTAGCGTTCGATCGGTAGGGAGTGAAACACCACAAAGAGGGGAGGAGAACAATAGAAGAGATTATATTAGGAGATAGATTTGTGGGGGGGTGTGTGTGTGTGTGTGTGTGTGTGTGTGTGTGTGTGTTTTTGGGGGGGGGGGGGGGGATGTGATTTGCACTGATATTGTTGTAGTGTTACATGTAGTAATAGTAGTACATATATATGTATACATAGATGTATTATGCTGGACTAAGGGGTAGATGACTTCGGCTTTACGGTTTCACTTTCAGTAAGAGATGTATGGTAGGCCTACTAGCAACACGTAATAACTTGCAACACAAATTGGTCGTACCAGTGCTGAAGATTAATGGTGTTACTATAGAGTAGTATAAAAAAAGGGAAAAGAAGGAGGGTATAGATTTGAAGGAAGACAGATGTTTGTAAGGAAAAAGGGAGCATAGCTTGAGAGTCCTTGGATAATGAAAATTTATATTTTTTATGCCTTTATCAATATTTTTCAGTTTCAGTAAAATCAGCACAAAATGTGTTTTTAAATAGACATAAAAGGTGCTGAGCCAAAAAAAAGAAAATTATTTTAAAAATTGCCCAACTGTCAGAAAAATGACTTTTTCTTCAATATCATTATTTTGACAAGCGCCTGATTTCACCAAGCTGCCTCACACACACACACACATACACACACACACACACACACACACACATATACACACATACACACACACACACATAAACACACACACACACATACACACACACACATACACACACACACATACACACATACAAACACATAAACACACACACACACACACAAACACACACACACACACAAACACACACACACACAAAAATATGGTTGTACATGGAGAAAGGTCCCAGCTGTCAGCAAAGGGGTGAAATGGCTGAAAAAAGTCGCACCAGGTAAAAAATTTCGTTCCATCAGAAAACCCACATATAACCATTTCTTAATTACATAATTGAGAGGATCTTATATAATAATTTAAAATCTAAATTTCTTTAAATTTCTTTTTTTTTTTTAAACATGTCATACTTCACCAAAGGTTCAAAATGTTCTAGAAATTGTGTCCAGATACCTTTAATGTTAAAGCAGCTTTTCTCCCAACTTTGTTTTCACATGCTGTGTTACAAAATGAGGCATATCTTAAAAACTACTCAAGATATCTGAAAAGTTAAAAAAACCCAGCATGTTCAGGATTGAATTTGCTACAAGATATGCCCTTATTTCATTCCAAAATTTCCAACAACTGGGACCTTTCTCCAGGCACACACACACACACACACACACACAGGGTCTCCTTTAACTGTCCCCGTCATTTTATGCAAGAAAAATTCTGAAATTAAGCAAACTGAGCCCAAAAATGTGAAATTATGCGATTCTCTTAATTTTAACAGAGAATGATAAAGGAAAATAATCAGAAATTATGCAAAAAATGATCAAATTTTACTAAATTATGCGGGGTGCATAAAACAACGGGCACAGTTTTAAGCACAAGGGGGCTATCCTGAAAAATGGTGTTTTGAGAAAATCGAAGTTTAAGTTTTTGGATCCTTGTTCAGTTTCTTTAAAGGACAATTAGAGTTTTCTCTATATTTTAATTATTTTATATCCAAACAAATATATACCAATAAAACCAAACTTCTCCTCTATAGGTAGAGCGATGCCCATTTGTACTTTTAGTGTAGGTAAAGATTCCTGGAAACCCTGGAAATCAGGGTTAGCCTGCTTGTCCTTAAAAGTGACCACATATTTAGTTATGATTTGGCCTACATTCCACAAAACTCAAAACACAGCAAACATTGGATCCCGACTATACATCATGACATTGTAATACACATCAACAGAGCTTTATTGTGCCTAAAAAATTATGCCACAACACACACAAAAATAATTCTTACAGTTGTAATTTTTGTGAAGCATCCTGTAATTATACAGCAATATTTACTGATCACCAGTTCACAACTGTTGAACAATTCCACTTCTTCCTGAAATGACGCACACAATTACATCATGATTTTATAAGCAGGCCCAAGCTTTCTAACTATTAAAAAAAAATTGTAATTAAATTCTAAAGTGGTCTGGAGAAACTTCAAAGGAACTGTGCCAACGCAGTCTGCCAGCAAAAGATCTGGCGTGGCCAGGTATCAGCCTAATGACGTAATTGCTGCTGGGCGTCCATCAGTCTGTTACATTGTGTCACGCTCACATCTACAGGTCTGACCAGTATAATGAGTTTGGTAAAAAACAAAACAACCCAACCGATCAGTCTACAGACTCCTTAACACAAACAGCCTAGCTTCTGATCATTGCTTCTTTCAGTTTTGTTACCCCAGGGTTGTATTCTTCACATTTTAGAATACTTCTAGTATGAAGACCTCTTTGAAACTTTCAGTATTTCTCACAAAATCATTTTGACAGACTGCTATGCAAAGCGTGCAGATCGGATTAACGAGTAAATTTCCTCTTTGGAAAGTGGTGGCAGAGAGTTCTCCACGTCGTATGGATGCGATAGTAAAACACTACGCACGGATAGGGTGAAAGTAAAGTTCAGCTGGAGTTGTGCATGTATCTAGTTGCTACTTATTTTCTAGCTGAGCATGGCAATCATGCAAAACAGATCTATAAGAGGTAGGACTGGCTACAGTTTGTCTTTCATCGCTACCAGTCTACCACTAGTTAAGATGGCAATTGGTGGTGTCTCGTTTTATCGGCAGTCCTGCTGCCCACCAACTAAATGTTCATCCCAAGGTAGGCGGTACAGTATAACGAGGTTTGACTGCATAAATTTTAAAACAAAATGTGTCATGACGCAATGGAATCAGGCACACATCAATCTGTGGACATATGGGCTTATCGGTATCATCTTAAAGCTTGTTCATTTGTCTTTCATTTGGTGAAAATATCCCATTTGTCTTGAATGGAAGTCGAGAAATTTGCGACTGAAGGAGGTGGGCTTCACCTGGTATCAAAGGTAAAATCAGGGAGAAAATAGCTGCCGATGCTAGGTGACATCCAAAGCTAGAGAGACCTTGGAAACTACAAGTTTACATTTTCTGTGCCTTTAATCAACATTTTTCAGTAAAATCCACAAAGAAATGTGCTTATGTACACAAAAGACATTGAGCTAAAACCAAAAAAATTGATAAAAATAGCCAAAATGGCAAAAAAAAAAAGAAGCAAAATTCATATGTGAGGCAGCGTGGTGGAATCAGGTTCTCGTCAATTTTTGGGACATGTAGAGTTATTGGTATCATCTTAAAGCTTGTTCATTTGTCTTTATTCGGGTGAAAAAAATATCCATTTATCTTGAATACAAGTCGAGATATTTGCGAATAAAGAGGGTGGGGTCACCTGTTTTCAGAGGTAAGATTAGTGAGAAAAGGGCCGCCAAAGATTAGTTATTTCCTTAGCTTAAGAGTCCGTATTAACTGAACATTTACATTTTTTGTGTGTCTTTAATCAAAATTTTTCAGAAAAATTCACACAGAAATGAGTGTCTAATAGGCATGTAAGGTGTTGAGCCAAAAAACAAAAATTTGATAAAAATTCACAAACCTTCGGAAAAATGCAAGTTTCTTCATTTTGATTATTTAGACGAGAGCCTGATTCCACCACGCTGCCTCACATATATGTTATAGACCCTTATTATATCATTAATTTGAGAATAATGACAAGCGCCTGATCACGATGCATCACAAGCGAGCGGCAGCAAGGACCACATAAAGTTTGGACAAAGGGAAATAACTCATTATAATATTAACCTTCATCTAGTCCAGGCATAATTATTTCCCACTTCTGCCTCTCCAAGCATTTGAATCGTCGACATGACACAGTTTATTTCCACTGACGGGAACTTTCTCACCACACACACCCCACGTTCTCACAGGAACCTTAACCCCTTCACTGCTGACCTATATTCCCTGCCCTAAGCTGACCTTGTTTCCAGGAATAGCACTCAAACGGGTGATCCTTTTAAAGTGCTACTTACTCTATGGTAATGCATCAAATGCATAAAACAATGGTCTATAATATTATCATTTTAAAGAGAAATGAATGAACAGCTATCATCATCAGCAAAAATTTCTTCCATAGTTCGATACGTTGAGAGCATACATCGCGAGTGATCAGCCATAGCCCGGAGCTAGAGTGAGACGCTAGAACTGTGAAGGGAGAGTGACTGTTCAGTGACGCTATAATTCACGCTATTTTGGTCATTGTTGGTCTAACAAGGGCAAACTAATCTTCTTTAACTCTGGAAGAAAAGAGCTTTCAAAGTAAATTTTCAGTTTCCACAGACTCTCAAGCTAAGTAATTTAATCACCTTTGGCGGCCATTTTCGCGCCAATTTTACCTCTGAAACCAGGTGACCCCCCAACTCCTTAAATAGCAAATATCTCGACTTCTATTCAACATAGATTGATATTTTTTTACATTCAAAGTAAGACAAATTAACAAGCTTTAAGATGGTGCCAATAACTCCACATGCTCAAAAGTTGACGAGAGCCTGATTCTGCCACGTCGTGACACACACACACACACACACACACATATATTATATACATATATATATATATATACACGGGGTGAAACAATAGATGTGCCATGTATGATGTGCGGTCATTGTGTATGTACCATACTGCAGATCTTTGAGAGGCTCAAAAGGGAGCAGGATAATACAAACACTGTGGACGCCTCAGATAAGATTGAACAAGAAGAATCAAACAATTGGTCGCTTTTAAGCACAAGGGGGCTATCCCGAAAAAAGCTGGTTTGAGAAAATCGAAGGTAAAATTTTAGGACCCTTTTTCAGTTTCTTTAAAAGACAAGGAGAGTTTTCTCTACAATCCAACAAATATACACACCAATGAAACCAAACTTCTCCTTTAGGTAGGGCAATGTCCACTTTTGGTGTAGGTTAAGATTTCTGGAAACCCCTGAAATCTGGGTTAGCCCGTTTATCTTTAAAAGTGACCAATTGTTATTAGCTCAACAACGAAGAAGGAACTTCAATCCAAAAACTTCAATGAGCAACTGGAGGGCTTTTGGCAGCAGGTCACTGGGCAGGCTTCTCCTGTTTTCCTGTCAGTTCTCAGCATTCCAGCTGCCCGAATTCCCTGATGAGACAGGTCTTTGAGACGAGTGCATCTTGTAGAAAAGTTGTCCATGTAGATTTGCTTGTCTGCAGGGGCGAAGGCTGACTTGTTTGACAGGGTAATCAAAGTGAAATGGGACCAGATAGGGCCTGTAGATATCACACAAGAATCTTACTCGAGGCGGCGACTCTGAGTTGTGAATGAAAACAAATCCGGAATTCATATTGTATGTTCAACCGCCAAAATAATCGGGAAAGTATCTTATTAAATATCAGTTCCCACTAAAATTAAACTTAACTTTAGATGTGAATACATAAACACAAAGCAAAGAAGCAGAGATGTCAGTACAAGATCTATATGTTATAGATCTACCAGTGAGTCTAGCTCTTTGGTAGAACATGACAATTATCATTTTTTAAATTTCACATTTGGCTGTTTTTGTTAGCCTTTCGCGGCCAGGAGCTGGTGTCATAATCGAGGTCACGATCTGATTATAGGACGGTAAAAAGTCGAGGAAAAAAAACAAGCACAAGCAGCAGTCAAGAGATTATTAAGAGTTAGTTCCCCTCACATTTGTGAGGTAGACTCGACCAGTGTTAGTGAGCTTACTTAATCAGGGCTTGTGATTGATTTTAACTGTGGCCCCAAAGGGGTGAACAGGGTATATGTGGCAATGAAACAGCTTTGACTGCCATGCACATGTTCCCTTCAACTCTATTCCAGCCTCACTTTAAGCTTACTTAATCAAAGCTTGCCACTGCTTATGGAGTGGCCCGAGAGGGGTGAGGAGGCTAGGCTATTTCTGTGGCCGTGAAACCGTTTTGAATGTTAGGCATACTGTTCGTTGTTGGTTACGAACGTCTTTTTACATTTAATTTATGAGGTTTACGTTTAAGGATGAATTTGACAGCGAAAATGTTTCAAAATTAGAAAGGGAAGCAGTGATTATTTGATTATATAGACGCTTTGCCCCTGCTTGTCTGTTGAAAGCAAGGGGGGTGGGGGTTGGGGATGTTAAGGAACACTGAATGTATAAATATTCAGACAAATATCTTAATGTAATATAAAGACGAACTCCTACCTTTTCAGTAGCGCAAGAAGGAACTTTTATTTTGTTTGAAACAAGAGCAGGTTGATTTTCCGTACTGTGACTTGACGTTGGCTCTGTCCCTCTCTCGTGAAAGACTATTAGTGACTCAAGTGACTGACATCGGCTCGATGCTCACTCGAGCCTCTCTTTCTCGTGACAGGCGTTTCTCGTGCAAGAAAACTCGTGATTAAACTCCCCTTATCAGCCGGTTGGCAGAAAGGTTTTTAATGTCAAAAACGGGTCAAGTATCTATAACAGGGGGTTTAGGGTGTACCAAAGCAAACAAAATAGTTGGGCACAGATAACATGAACACAGACAGCTTGAAATCACTGATAGCTTGTACTTGTACAATTTGCCATACCACGACTGACATCTCTTTAATTTATCGTTGTATCGATTTACTCAAAATATGGATGTGTCGAACACATTTGTCAATCCCCAACAAGTTTGTAAGTCGTTTGTGCCCGACTGTACTAAAACCAAAAAGTTTAACCCTATTACTATTACTGTCAGTGGTAAATTTGCACTGCATCAGGGGAAAGTCTCAGGAACAAGGCTGCACCTTCAGACGTAAGAAATGAGTAATTATGACAAATACAAAGACCAGGAAACTATACATATTTGGAAAGCTCTTTGAAAAAGCTATAACATATGCTGAAAAAATTTACGATTTCAACATTTCAGCAAGGTCATATGACCCCTAAAATCTGCCGGAAATATCGGAAACTACCAAGGACCCAAAGAAGCCATTTTCACTCACTTGCAGAAAGTCGCAGCCGCCGGCGATTCTAAGATGAACAGTGGACAATTTTTTTTGTTCCTCTATTTCAAAAAGCGTTTTAATAACTACAGGAAGTCCTTCTTTTTTAAAATTAAGGCACTTTCGTTCAGCTATGGTACTTCCGGGGTTCGCGAAGACGATATTCGGAAACTGCTGATGTTATAGGCAGTAACAGTCTGGTGGCAAAGAAAGTGCCGATCTCATCGGTACTTGTCAGTAATTGGGTTAGAGGTTATTCCATCGTAAAAGAAAACAAAACTTTACTATCCTTTCGACAAATGAAAAGCAAAATGAATTATATACAAGCAGACAACTGTCAAGAGACCTTAGTCGGAATGTAAAACAGAACAATTCGTATAGCACTAGACTTACTACTTACTGGTGTGACAAAATGACTTGACAAGGCTCATCATCCCATCGTGTGCAAGCCCTTTGCCTTGGTCTTCAGACATCTCATTAACCATCCTCTCCAAGAATACACCCTGAATCTTGAAAGGAGGAAAAAAAAAAAATGAACATGTATTGCATGACAAAGTAAAAAAATTACAAGTCTAGACTTGTGTCTTTTGTGTGGAGGTTAGGAGCTTCATCTTTGCAAGCAGAAGATGCGAGTTTAATTCTCAGGGGGGAATAATTTTTATTGAGTATATTTATTGGGCTTTCTTTTGTGACATTGTATCCCTGTTGGCCATGGTTGGCCTGAACTGGCAAGGTCAAAGTCCCACTCCTAAATGATCTAAACATTTTCCACTCTAAAGAGAGAATTTCTTTAGAAAGATAAAAACATGTATCACATAAGAGCACATTTTGTTTTCTTTTGGGAACAAAAACGTTCTGTCTATGCAGCGTAAAACATGTAATATAACTTCCACTCTAACAATTTTTATTGAAAAGGAAAGGGAGACCAATAAGAAATGCTTTTCTATAACTCTTTAACCATGCAATCTTAAATCACGTTTCCGCCTAATTCTCTTGTGCTTGTGGAAATGCGACCCGACATATTACGTTTCTAAAACCGCTTGTCCTTTGTTTACAGTGCGGCCATCTGGGATACAATGAAATCTCGCTTCCGGGTGACGATAATGGCCAGAGTTTCAAGGCATAGGGCTACATTAAAACAGAATAAATAATTTTTTAAAAATCATATCATTATCATAAGCTTACCTTACGGAGCAGGATACAACTGTTGAATATGATCAACAATGTTGTTGAATGTTTCCATTGGTGACTTTCTGTACTCCCCCCGCCACATAAATTCACCCAAGTGGGATGAGAGCATCGCCTCATTAGTACCACTCATGGCTTTAAATCGTCTCTTGGCATTTTTCCAAAAGTTTTCAACCTTATTTGTACATGCACCGGTTATGGGGTCGACGAAATTATGCTCATGAATTACGACAACGTGTTGGTATGCCGGCACAACGGGAATATTCACTATGTTATTATTTGAAGCAAAGGAGTTTCCATAAGCTTGAATGAACACACGTCACGGAAGTACGCGAACCACTGGATCACTGTATTCTCGCTCAATCCAGTCAGGGACACAGTATGAACAACTGGCTCCTTGAAACTCCAGGAGAAGAGAAGTTCAACAATGTTACATGAGGTCAACTGACTGTCCAAAGAAGGTGTCCTTACACAAAAAAACCTTCTCACCTTTATGAGCTGGGCCCCTAAAGCATCGTTCTTCACCCCTACCAGTTTTGACTAAAGTCATCTGCCTCGAATATTTGCAGACAAATTAGAGGCACTGATCTTATTAAATTGTTTTGTTGCAAAAATCTAAGCGCAGCTTCTTCATTGGAGGCATATATTAAAATATTATAAAAGCCATTGCGAAAAAACATATAGCAAAACACACATTGTGGAACTCAGTCAATTTTTAAAAAAATGATGAAACACACAACTAAAATCTTTTTTAAAAAGGCACAAGAAAAGGAGGAATTTTCAATGATTCAACCACTGAAAAAAAGCCTAATTAAACAGCTGTAAAAAAACAGTAACTCTATAGAAATATCCTGGAACTTTACACTGACTAAAATGAACCATGCAAGTCAACTGAAGTGGCGCGAAATTACTTTGGTGGAGTGGTTCGCTATGCCAAAATTAAATAACAAGTTGAACAGAAAATAATTCTTGTACCACTTGAACAGAAGTGTGTGTTTTTGCCATTTTAATGTGCTGTTTGGCATTGTATGCCTTGAAAATCTGGCCATTATCGTCATCCGGACCCGGAAGCGAGAGTTCAGTGTATCCAAGATGGCCACACTGTAAACAAAGGACCAGGACCGCAACATTGTGGTATTACCGGCAAAACAATTTAATAAGAGCGGACCATTGCACAGCGAGGCTTAGAAGTCGTTCCGACTTTGTTCAGTGTTGGGTCAACCAAAGTTCGATCTTGCCCAGATCTTACCTTTAACGAATGGGACACCATTGTGACAGGTGCAAAAGTATGTTGTCCAATGCCTGTCTGTTTGTGCAATTCCCTCCTCATAAATTCCTGCGAATCTATGGTCGTTGATACATAGATTCCACAAGTTTTCAATGTGGTTCGTGAATGCACCCGTAACAGGATCGATGAAATTACGTGCATGCACGACCACCTGATGCTGGTACGGTGGGTTTACTGGCAAGGCCACAATTCCATTCTTGTATGCTGCCCACGCGTCACTGTGTATGGAACCAGGGACAATGTTATCCCGGATTATTGGAAGCAGAGTCGCAGCTGATCTGTCAGGAACAAGTTGTATGAAAGACAGTCTTGTCGCCCTGCAGATTCCTCCAAATACCCACCGCCACCGCTCTGGAACTTAGTGGCCTCTGTTGTATTTTCTTTTTGATTTTGCAACGACACTTTCGTTGATTGCCACGACTAGTTCAGGCTCAGGGCGTCCCAGTAGTCTCTCCAACAATAGTAAAAGCCAACACCATTTTTGAGTTACAGAAACTGAAGGTAGATTGTACAGTAATTTGTCTACGTGCGGAGAGCAACTTATACTACAGTACTACACTCTGTCTGGTCTGAAGTTCATGCCTCTTCTTCCAACAAACTGAATCCTAGAGCACCTCTATCTCTAAACCAGAAACAAACCAAAACAATCATTAGACTTTCAGAGTGACTTCCCTTGTAAAGAGCTTTTTCGTTTCCAGATATCAAAGAGCTCAGTTGCTATGATACACGTTTGCGTTTGAGCATGGCGGATCCCAGTGTTTTTGTTTTGCACATGCGCGGGAGGTGAAGGTTCATCATTCTGAAAAAATCAATGAGTATGCTCCAGATAAAAAGAGTGATTGGACTAGTCTGAAGGAATACCGGGCCGCTGGTTGTTTGATAGTTATTCCCGGCTCTGTCTGTCATTCAAGAGCAAACAGAAAGATCGAACAATGCACTTGTTAGCATAATAATAACTTTAAAAGTGAATGATGTTGGGAGTGGAGGGTGCCGCAGGTTACTGCCAGTAATGACAGCATAATTCGTGCTGAGAAAGAAGAAAATACGAGTTGGATTCGTGAATATAGCAGCAAGGTAAGTGAAAACTGTTGAAAATTTATATTGTTGGAGTACATCTGGCGTTTGAAAGGGCAAAGTAATAAGGATGTATTTGAATCATCTAAGGGCTTAAACTTGACGATGAAAAAGTGAAGAGATTAATAATGAAAACATTGAAGCAGAAGTGGCTTCTAAAAATATTAATATATTTTTGGATGTATGAAGTGTGAAATGTTCGTAGGAGCGAACAGATATTCATTTATAATGTGCTGTACAGTACGTCTTAACTACGATTAAAAGTATTGCAAGGAAAACAAAGATAGGTCGAGATGATAATATGTTACATGTACTTGGGGGGAGGGGGGAGTGATGAACTGTTTGCCCAAAGACTAAATTACTGCCTTGATGATGTTTCAATTTTTTAAAAACTATTGAGCTGAAATTTTGTTACTCCTGATGAAATGGGAATATTAGAAACACAAAACAAAACAGAAAAACAACACGAAAACGCGTTGTTAATAATAATTGACCATGTTTTTGTTTAGAATCTAGTTACAGTTGGAAATGTGTGATGTGTTATATGATGTAATATGTGGATTTAGTTTCTACTTGCATTTGCTCTCTTACGTTTTTCTCACTTTGCTTACTGTGATGTAATGATACATGTTCATTTTATTAGTCAATAAATGAACTTTGCACTCTTACGGTACACTCAATTGCGACATTTGACTCCATAGGAATCTTCTTCTTCTTCTTCTTCTTCTTCTTCTTCTTCTTCTTCTTCTTCTTCTTC